AAGGGGGCACCAGTGATTAAAAGTTCATGGGTTTTGGGGCGCCTGGGTGGCTCAGTCGTTGAGCGTCTGCCTTTGGCTCAGGTCGTGGTCCCGGGGTCCTGGGATCGGGCCCCGCATCGGGCTCCCTGCTCCACAGGGAGCCTGCTTCTCCTTCTCCAGCTCCCCCTGCTTGTGTTCTCTCTCTCTCTCTCTCATTAAGTTGGATTAAGTGAACTTCCTTGAATTGGTCATCCAAGATAACCTACGTTAACTGCAGATAACCAGGATACCTACTTTAATGTCAACTCATTGTACATAAAATAAAAAAATACTCCAATTATGAGTGCTTTAATGTGAATGGAATGGTCAACTGATTATAGGAATCTCCTTTTTAAAATGTACTATTTTCTCAACAGTTCATCTTCAACATATGTGGCTTAATTTCCTTCAGTTACATAAAAGTACTCATGCTGAACTCTGATAAAAATGCCAGTGTTGTTTTTATATTTCAAAAAAACCTTTTTTATTACATAAAGTGACTTCTATATATAGGAGCATCTAGCATATAACTTGAGACAACTGTCTCAAGTAACTGATTTGCTACAGTGAGCTAGGCAATAGAAATAAAACTGTTGAGATACGTTTTTTTGAAAAAAGATATATCACTGAAACCTTGGCATTGCCCAGAGGCGGGGAGATAGCAGTCCTAGCTTTTGGGGTAATTCACAGATAAAATCTTGCAAGTTTCTCAAATGTTTGTATGTGGAAGGGGGCACCAGTGATTAAAAGTTCATGGGTTTTGGGGCGCCTGGGTGGCTCAGTCGTTGAGCGTCTGCCTTTGGCTCAGGTCGTGGTCCCGGGATCCTGGGATCGGGCCCCGCATCGGGCTCCCTGCTCCACGGGAGGCCTGCTCCTCCCTCTCCCACTCCCCCTGCTTGTGTTCCCTCTCTCGCTGTGTCTCTCTCTGTCAAATAAATAAATAAAAATCTTTAAAAAAAAAAAATAATAATTTGACCTAACTATAATCTTGATTTAAGTATACAAGTAAATTTTAGGATTGTACAAATTCCATAGAGCCTATTGACTTCCATTATTCCAATCCAAAGCCAATAATGTTGACAGAATTGAAGCCTCACTGTGCTAAATAGCTGAAGTAATATTAGAAAGTTTGCCATAAATGAATTTTAAGAAATGAGCTCAAATATATTATATTTCAAGTACTGAGGGCCTGAAACAAAGATATATATCATAATCTAACCAGCCAGGACATTCCTGAGGAAGGTTCCTTTCGGTCTATTCTCAACAGTATTTATTACTCTTCCTATTTGAAATAATTTCTTCATTTGACTGTAGGATACTATGCACTTTGATTTTCCTTGAGTCTGTCTTTTTCTTTGCAACTTTTTTCCCCCCAGAGCTTCCTTAGGCTACCAACATTTAAATGTTGGAGTAACCCAAGGGCTTAATTCTTAGACATTTTCTTGTCTCTGTTACACATACTATGTGATCTTTAGAATCAGGCCTTTAAGAACCTTTTATATCCTGATGCTTCTCAACTTTATATCTTCAGGTATGTTCTTCCCTTAATTTCTGCATTTATTTATTTGATGACTCACTCGAAACCTCCTTTGAATGTTCACTAGTCATCAGGAGCTCCGTGTCCAAAAAGGATCTCTTTGCTTCCTCAAATCCTTTCCTTCCTCAGCATCTTAGTAAAGAGCTCTATCAGTCTCCCAAGAGCTCATGTTCAATTCTTGAGCATCCTCTTGGATTGCTCTCTCCCACGTCCCACTTTATCATTATCCCCAACTTATCAGCATGTCCTGCCAGTTTGACTTATATGACATATCCCCAAACTGACCTCATCATGTCCATTGCTACCTTCTCAGTACATTCCATCTTCTCTCACCTGTGATATAGCAACAGCTTCCTACCTGGTCTCCCTGGATCTCCTGTTTCTAGGGCCCAATCCACAGAGGGGAGACAGAGTGCTATCCTGAAGAGAAAAATCTCTTGAATAGCTTCACATTATTTTTAGAATAAAATCCGACGTTCTGATAACAGCCTTTAAGATCCAATTGCATCTGACCTCTGACAATCTCTACAACTTCATCTTCTCCCAGTGCCTCTACCTGTCTCTGATCTTGCAGTCCCTCAAACAAAGCAAGCATTTCCCACGCAGAGCCTTTGCATTTGCTGTCTTCTCTGACGAGAATGTTCTTTCCTCAGCTACTCTCATAACTCCTTCCCTTTTTTCATTCAGGTGTTTTAAAAAATAACTCCTCCTCAGAGAGGCCTTTCTTATCCAAACTAAAAAGAATATTTGCTTTACACGGTACCTGGGTGGTTCAGTTAAGTGTCTGACTCTTGACTTTGGCTTGGGTCATGATCCCAGGGTTGTGGGATCAAGCCCCATGTCAGACTCCTTGCTGGGCATGGAGCCTGCTTGGGCTTCTCTCTCTCTCTCTCCCCCTCTGTCCCTCCCCCACCATGTGTGTGCATGCATGCGTGCTCTCTCTCTCTCTCTCTCAAAAAAAAAAAAAGAATATCTACTTTACTATTCAAACCATTCACTTTGAATTGTTTCTTACAATTAATACCATACTATTCTATTATGTATTTACTTTATGTTTTTGTTTATACATTTTAAAATTTCATCTTAAAAGAAATAAAATTTTGAAAGGAGACATTTTATGGGAGAAGGATTTTTTCCTCTTTTGTTCAATACATTTTGTTGTTTGTTTCTGAGACTCATACTGGGAACATACTAGGTGCTCAATAAATAATTTTTGAGTAATATAATGAATGCAGAACTTGAAGAAGATTCTCAGCTTTCTGATTGATTTGAGGCAATGTTATTTTACTGAGTACCGGTGTGCCAAGTTTGATGCAATTTATTAAACAGATTATAATTTTAAAATTAAAGCCTATAGTTTCAACCAAAGGGTAAATGTGAAAAAAAAATGAACCTTCTTGATTAATTGATAAAATAGTTGTCAAACTTAAGAGGTTTTTTTTTGTTATTTTAATTTTTAAATTATCCATGGGTCACGATGTATTTCCTTAAAGACATGAAATTTACAGACATGCATAAAGTGTGAAAACATTCTTTTAAATTCCACATTGATTTGTAAAAGTGCTTATCCTATAACCTCTATAAATTCAGGGATTATGTTTGATTCTGTCAAGGGTCGTATTACTAATATCATTTGGGTGCGTATTTCTACTTCCGCCTACGTAATGTTCCTACTGCTCTCTACGTGTGGTAGGGCAAGGTGGAAATTCTCTGGAGAGTGACTTACTCATTCAACTAATATGTATAAAGTAGTCACTAGATGCAAGACATAGATATAGAAATATGGAAACAGACAAAAGACTCTGTTCTTATGGAGCTTACATTTTAGTGGAGAGAGAAAACAAACAAAATAAAAAAGCAAACCATGTGTTAGGGTAAATAATATTCGGTGCTAAAGAAGTGAATGGCCCTCTGTGCAAAATGGAAGAGCTTGTATTAGTACCTAGGTCTCCGTCTTGTTCCCAAAACCACGTTTGGTCTATTTCATGAAGCAGTATAAGATAGAAATTACTGTCTGGTTAATTAAAGATAATTGCATTTGGTTAGTTCCTTCAAAGAAGGATGCTGCTGTGTTCAGAAAAAAAACCATCTCTTTTCAATGGGTTTCAGAGAATCTTTTTACATTTACCGAGTGTCACTCATGTTAAGCATATCATGACTTTGAGACTGGAGTCTTGTGACTACACTAGTGCAAAATCTGTTGCTACTGAATAATTTAAAATGTGATGGATATGCACAGGAGAGAGAATAATGACATATGGCCTGATGACATATTTACATAGATATATAGTTGTAGTTAGATCCCTACTGCTGTTGTCAACAATCAATGCATGTCCAGAAGGTGGACAAAAAATCTGATTTCATCCACATCGTTGCAAATGGCAAGATCTCATTCCTTTTGATGGCTGCATAATATTCCATTGTATATATATATACCATATCTTCTTTATCCATTCATCTGTCAATGGACATCTTGGCTCTTTCCACAGCTTGGCTATTGTGGACATTGCTGCTATAAACATCGGGGTGCATGTACCCTTCGGTTCCCTACATTTGTATCTTTGGGGTAAATACCCAGTAGTGCAATTGCTAGATCGTATGGTAGCTCTGTTTTCAACTTTTTGAGGAACTGGAGGGTGTTATGCTGAGCGAAATAAGTCAATCAGAGAAAGACATGTATCATATGACCTCACTGATATGAGGAATTCTTAATCTCAGGAAACAAACTGAGGGTTGCTGGAGTGGTGGGGGTGGGAGGGATGGGGTGGCTGGGTGATAGACATTGGGGAGGGTATGTGCTATGGTGAGTGCTGTGAATTGAGTAAGACTGTTGAATCGCAGATCTGTACCTCTGAAACAAATAATACAATATATGTTAAAAGAAGAAGAAGAAGACAGAAGGAGGGGAAGAATGAAGGGGGGGATTCAGAGGGGGAGACAAACCATGAGAGATGATGGACTCTGAGAAACAAACTGAGGGTTCTAGAGGGGAGGGGGGTGGGAGGATGGGTTAGCCTGGTGATGGGTATTAAGGAGGGCACATATTGCGTGGAGCACTGGGTGTTATATGCAAACAATGAATCATGGAACTCTACACCAAAAACTAATGATGTAATGTATGGTGATTAACATAACAAAAAATTTTTAAACAAATCTGATTTCAGAGAAAGGTGAAGTTGTCTTTTGAGATCTCAGTTTTAGGAAAGCAGTTTTGTACGAGGCAAACTTCTAGCTTTTGGCAAACTCTCCAGAGAAATTTCATTTCATTAAGAGGATAGATGTTCCAGGTTTGTTGCTATTCATTTTAACTAGCTGCTGTATTATTAAGGCATGACTGTTTCATATGTCTTTGATGTGCAGCCCCTTCTCTTTCATATCTGATAGCCAGCAACCCT